AAAATCATAATTTAATCTCAAAAACCATAATTTACGGATAACAATTTAGTATAGTAGAGAAAGATAGCAGTCGTATCAAGGTGTAGAAATATCCTTGAAAGTAGGAAGGGGGTGTCGTATCAGAGCTTTCGCATTCCCGTATACAGCAGTTTGAATATTTGCTTTGAGCTTGGATCATTTTCACCTTGGTCATTTCATTCCTTCCAAGTAGGAAATTATGCAGAAAAAAAAGAAAGAAAAGCGGACCAGACTATATGGATTGCTGGTGGACACTGCAGTGCGAGAGAAAGAGGGAGCCGCCCCCAAGCTCACCAGCTAATGTGATGGATATCCCATATGCTAAGATTTCGAGTCACGAAATGCTGGACAGAATAGCTTTCTTCCCCGCATTTCGTGACTACATAGTTGCCTAGAGTTCTTTCAAACTCTTCAAGGAAATATTATACTCGTCATTTTTGCTTTTCTTTCTCAAACCGAATCGCTGTTATGTTCCCCTTCAGTTCCAGAGTTTATTTAGGTTGTACGAGATCAAGTAGCTGCATTGGAACTGGAAAAAGGAAAGGCGTATATTGGTCAGCGTATTGAAGAGATTCTACGTGATTTATGGCAGAAGAATGGCGATTTGTGCAGCAATATTCTATGCGGGAACGGGAGCGCTCGATGGCAAGAGCAAGGTAATACATCAATCCAAGCCTTGGTCTCTTCTTTTAGATCTGGACAAAGCCTGTGCGCGAACTCATCATATTTACTCATTTTGCATTTCAGTTGAAAGACGCATCTCGCTCCATAGCTCGTACAATACAAAACAATTTGATGGACAGTTCGAAGCAAGAATCGTTCGACATTTTCCTCTCTGGGGCGTTTTTTGACTCGCCGATTTTCGACAAAGCTGTCACCCTACTTCCAAATTCTATCCTTCATGGTACCATTGCGTTTCTTGGCGCGGTCATTTTCTTATCACTGTTCTCATCTATTATTTGATGTAGTCAAATAAGCCTTAACAGGAGAAACGTCGTTGAAAGACTGATTTCCTCTGGCAAAACTCATGGGAATGCTTTGAAATACAGTGGGCGCATTACACAATCACTTTTTCTACCCATTGAATGGGCGTGCCTGAAATTTTTTTATCAGTGGGTTTGCATAAGAGGCTCGCATTGCCAACAATTTCAGTTTTTTCAAGTATCAAAGGGATTCAGGAATGTTCGGGTACCAGTAAAGAGCATTACCAATTTGCGGCACACATATCACAGGGTGACTAATTAAATGCATGGACATGACAATTAGAAGGCGGAGCGGTTTTGGTGACGTCACTGGGCGTCATTGGTGGAGTGACTTTGGCGAGAGTAGGTGATTCCAACAACACTGCGAGGTGTCATCTATTTGTGAGAAGTTCTTGTCCATCGTCCCGAAAGGCAGGCCTGTTCAAAAACTAGCTGAACAAGGAGAACAGTGATAGGAAATGATTCAAGCCTTATTCAAGTGCAGTCTTTCAATGATATCTGGACTGATTTATCAAATTTCAGATGACTACTACTTCTATGGTGGGTTATGGACTTCTGTCTCGTCAGCTTTCCTTTCTTCCGCCTTTGTTTTGTAGTAGCGTTATAGTCCTTATTGTGCCCTGAGTAAGGCAAACATTAGCATAGTTTGCAGAATGCGATGAAGCTGTCGAGCAGGTGGTTAGCCGTTCCTCCGAGATGACGTCACTCGACCGCATCAAAATCTTCATAGGTAATTTGAGCGTACTGTAAACTTTTCAAAACTTGGCAATGTTTGGAATTTGTTAGGTACTTGGAATGTGAACGGTGGTAAAAATATGCACAACATTCGCGTTTCGTAATCAGTCGAATATGGCCGATTGGATTTTCCCCAATGGAACGCTAGGTACGTAACTAAATGCTCCGATGTCTTTTCCTTATTCATTGCTAAATTATTCCTCCCTAAAATCGTGAATACCCTTTGGTCGAGCGATATTGCTGTTTGACGATTTTAGCAACGCATTTTTAAATTTTAATTTCTCGGTGTGGTTCCGCGTTTGATGCGTTCTTATTCGAAGTAATTGTGTTAAAGGTCGGAGCCGTGTATAAATTGTTGCGAACGAAGAGAGGAAAATGATACTATCATCTACATTTTAATGGACACATGGGAAGAGATATAAGGGGAAGTGAGATTGGACAGAAGGAAGCGCTTGTTCCCTACACATTCAAAATTCTCAACACGTTGACGGCAACGTGACGCGCACGCGCGTAAAATTTTCATCCCGGTGGGGCTCGTTTTCGGTTATTTGGCATGCAATTTTCATATTTCAAAACTGTCTGGATGCATAATCTTATCCGGAAAACTGTGCACCAATTAACAGTGGTGGAATTGTTGAAGGAGTAATGTCTATTTTGAAAATAATAAACAAAAAGTTGTCGAGATGCGCGCACAACGGGCTGTCGTCAACGTGTTAAATCACATTTTACCCGTTGCGAACAACGCCAGTGAGTTACTGAAGAAAGCTGGTAGCAGCTTCAGGCTTATAAGGGCTCGCCTTATTCTGCCTATGGAGGGACATTCCAGGAATATTTGACCGTAAAAACTGAATAAATCAACGGCGGCACCCTTTTAGTGAAAAGCTTGCTGATGCCCCTATGAGCAGTC